GGAGGTCCAGCAGTGGGGCCAGGACACTAGAAGCCCTCCCACTGTTGCCCCCCCCCCCAAGCACCAAGAATACAGAGCATCACTTGCCCCAGCCTGAGAGTTCCTATCTATACCTTGTGGCTAATAGCCACTGATGGATTTCTGCTCCATATGATTATCCAATCCGCTCTGGAAGCTGACTTTGCTTGTAGCCACCACCACTTCTTGGGACAGTGAATTCCATGTGTTAATCATTCTTTGGGTGAAGAAGTACTTCCTTTTATCTGTTCTAACCCAACTGCTCAGCAATTTCATAGAGTGCCCACGAGTTCTTGTATTGTGAGAAAGGGAGAAAAGTACTTCTTTCTCAACCTGCTCTATCCCATGCATAATCTTATAAACCTTGATCATGTCACCCCTCAGCCATTGTTTCCCCAAGCTAAAGAGCCCCAAGCGTTAACCTTTCTTCATAGGAAAAGTGTTCCAACCCTTTTATCATTCTAGTTGCCCTTTTCTGCATTTTTTCTAGTGCTATAATATCCTTTTTGAAATGTGGTGACCAGAACTGTACACAGTACTCCAAATGAGGTCGCACCATCGATTTATACAGGGACTTGAAATGACCCCTGCCTGTACGGCACATTTTACCATACCAAATAAATGCCAAAGAGCAGTAGTCATGGGCTTGCACACCTGAAACTCCATCCAAATCTCTGAGACAGGCCTTCCCACAGATTAACTCTGATCTCACCAGTTCAACAACTCCAAAATCTTTCTAAACCCCCAGTTCAAGAAATGATGCAGAAAACACTGGCAGAAAGCCCTGTAGCAAACATTTCTGGAAGAAACCCTGATTGCACTGGAAGCCACGAGGTCTCACTATGATCCAGCCCAGTTGAGCACTTTAGCTATTTCCAGCATAGAATCTGATGCTTTCATTGCCTTCAAGCCTGAGGTAGGAGGACATCTTGCTGTTGTTGCTTGTGAGAAAGACATCCTTGCCAACAAACAATAAACAAACAGGGATTTCTGTTTCAGGGTCTTAGAGATGGATCATAAAAGTTGCACACTCTGTATAGCCCCAGCAGGTGGAGACGGTGCTTCTACCAGACAAGTCATTCAGGGTCCATGCCCTGTGAAGTTCCATGGAAGCAACTCTGCTTAGTATTTGAAACAGAGAGAAGGCAGAGTGCAGGAAATGTTAAACACACATGTGTCAAAGATGCAACCCTCCTTTCCTTTTCTAATGGAACAAATAATTTCTGATGTAGAATTCCACTTCCCATTGTTTTAAAAATAAATGGAGGTGTTCAGAGTGGTTAAATATGTATTAGTACAAAATGGGCACAGTAAAAAAGGGGGAGAGAATTTTTTTAAAGTAGCAACAGACTGCTATCTTGTTCTGCAACCAGCTCCTACCCAAAGGAAGGCTGCTTGATATTATCAGAATGTTTCAAAACCACATGAGAAAAAGCAGCACAAAAAGCAGTCCTCCATGCAATGGTCTTCACACTTCCTCCCCCAAAGTCCTTCCTTTTTTCCTTTTTTGGGGGGGGCTGTGGCTACCCACACTGGCAACCCCTTCTCATTGCCTCCTCAATTTCTGACGTTCCACTCCTTGGCCACATACTCAGATTGTTCTTCCCTTCCTGGCCTTCCTGCACACGACACTCCCACATGGTGGCTGCACAAGTTGAGTTTCCATTGCTGATCTGAACCAGACCCAGAGTAGCTAATGTTGCTGTTGCTGCTCCATCAAGGGCCAAAAGAGTGCCTGCAAAGTCAGCGGCAGGGCAAGGCAAGGCACTGAATGGCCCCTTTGAGAACTGCAAGCAGCCTTAAGGTCACCCAGCAAATCCCCTTAGCTAATACCTATCTGGTGCTGCTTGCCTCAGCTGGTGCCTTTGCAAATCTGTCCTGCATGTACACTTTGACAACATTTGCATCCCCTGCACCGCCAACTAAATGTCCCTAAAATTCAGTCTTATGGTTCTGTGCCATCTTTAGAGGCTTAGGGCAGCAACCAAGACCACAACCTAGTGCATCTTAGAGATGTGTCAGTGTATCCCCACCACCACAGCAGTGAAATGTTGCACCAGCATATCCCTGAAGCTGACACAATTCTGTCAGCATAGGGACCAGAACTGGGTGACATAAGGGGATGGGGGTCAGGGTGGATCAGGACTTAATGTACTAAGCTCACAACAACCTGAATTCCACCTCCAGCTCCAGCTTATGGTCATGCTGGAGTAAGTCAAAGTATTTCCACTGGACTCAATAAGAGGGGGAAACGACTGCTCCCTCCACTGCCTCCCACCCACTTACAAAGCCACTGAAGTCTGACTAACTCTGGAGTCAATCATCACTCATTTATATTCAGTGTACAAGTCCTGGCCAGGACACCCATAAGATGGGAAGGTCAGGTGTATGGCATGCAGGCAGCTCTCTTGGCCTAATATTATACAAACTTAAGAAGCCTCAAGAGGGAACTGTAGTGATAGGAACTTTTAATGTGGAGAAAGGACACTTTGCATAAACAACAAAGGCTGGGAGCTGGAGTAGCAGAACCCCAAGCAATGTTTTGGAGAAAGTAATATATAAATATGTTACACAGAACAGCGTCAGGGCTAGAAGAATGATCTGTGATTCAGGAGGTCAACAGTTTAAACACTGTGATGAACTCACTAGGTGACCTTAGGTGAGCCACTTTTTCTCAGCTTCACCCCAAGCAATATGGGGAGAATAAAATAACCCCACTTTACAAGGTTGTTGTAAGAGTTAAAAGATAACTAGTGGGGGATCCACAGGGATTTACAGGGAACATTTCATTTTCTTCTGTCTTCTACTCCCTATTTCCTCTTTTCATTCCCTGGTAGACCCAAAAACTCTTCTATTTTTCTGCTTCTTTCTCTTCTTCTTTCTCTCCTTCTTCTCTCTGGGCCAGCAACAGGCTCCCATTGCAGAATGTCCACCCAGTCCACCTCTGCTCCCCCTTGGCTTTTCTAAACAGACATCAAAGCTTGGAAAACTCAGCATGCACTATTGTTGTGATTGCCTATCAACCTCCAAAATGGCAACTGAGAGCTCAGTGAGCATTCTTTTCTTAAAGGAATAGGCTTTGCTTCTGCTGTTTTAGGGCATTCTTATTTTATTTAACACTGTTCTTATTGGCAATAATGATAGATAATAATAAAATCGTATTTGGGGAGTTTTAATCCCCTGATTTTTTAAAAAAGATCTCAGAATTTTCTGCATACTTGGATCTTTGTTCCAGTCTGCAAAGAATCCCCCCCCCCCCATCTATCCCTACTTCCCTTTTCTGGATCTGTTAATCCACACTGTATGGCCAGGTTCAGAATTGGATGTATGGTGTGTGAAGTGCACTGAACATTAAAAGTGCTACATTAATGCCAAGTATTACTAAGCCTAACAGAATTTTTAAACTGGTCCCCTTAGCTGTCCCTTTAATATCACTTTAATCTGCAGCAAGTTCTAGGTGACCATCCCTACCATGACAAGTTTCACCTGCCCATTCAAACACATCTACCCTCTATTAAAGGGACAAGACATTTTCCTCTAGGCCTGTTGACAACTCTACTCATAGGGATACCAGCCTCCAGGTGGGACCCAGGGTTCCCCCCAGAAGTACAGCTCATTTCAAGACTACAGAGAGCAGTTGCCCTGGAGAAAACGGATGCTGGTGGGGGGACTCCATGGCATTGTGTATCAAAGAGGTCCCTGAACTTCACAAGCTTCACCCCCAAATCTCCAGGAGATTCCCAACCTCGATCTGGCAACCATCCCCCATCCCCTACTGGTGGCCATGAGGTGTGTAGCAGCCTAGCTCCGGTGGTGCTTTTTAGAAATCAGGCTAAGATATTATTTATATTATGCACACATTTCCTTGCCCTTCAAAAAAGCTGTTCCTACCTTTGCTGGTAGAATTTCCCTCCCAAAAGACAGGGCCGGCTGGCAGACTCCAAAGGTCGGTGGTCCCACATTTATCATTTATCTTACTCCTTATGTAGAAGGTATACAGTTTCTTCGGGTCCACACTGGCCAAGATGAACTTCATCTCTTCTGTTGCTGCAGTCTGGAAGGCAACATGAAAGAGGTATGGAAAGCACCAGCTCCCTCTACCAGCCAGGTGGCTCCTACCCCATTACTTTAGAGGGGGAGCCGCTTATGTCCCCCACCTGCTCTTTGACTGACACTTGCTCTGCATCTGCAGTGCACTAGGGGTCTATGGGACAGTAATGAGGTGTCAAGATGGCAGGCAAGAATGTGACGGCCATGTGCTTTACAAGGTGCTGCAGGTTCTAAAAGGCCAAACTATTTCCTGATAAATATGGAATGGGGATATGTGAACATTAAAGAAGAAGACGAAGAAGAGATTGGATTTATACCCCACCCTTCACTACCCGAAGGAGTTTCAGAGCAGCTTACAACCCCTTTCCCTTCCCACAACAGACACCCTGTGAAGTAGGTGAGGCTGAAAGAGCTCTTTCGAGAACTGCCCGTGAGAGAATAGCTCTGAAAGGACTTGTGGATGACCCAAGGTCACACCAGCAGCTGCATGTGAAAGAGGGCAGCATCAAACCTGGTTCTCCCAGATTAGAGTCCGCACTCTTAACCACTACACCAAGATTTCTGTGTTTGTTTGGGGAATATTGAATGGCAATATTAGAGATGTACTTTTATTTTTGGAAACACCTAAAACAGAAAAACAAGCACACACACACCCCAATTTGTGTTCTGGATAAAACAAAACACACAACTGACAATTTGGGCAAAGGTTGAAGAGTGTGTAGCATTGACTTGGGGATCAATACCCAACTTAGTTGCGGCCTTTCAGCTCAGAAACAACAGATATCTAATCCTGAACTTGGCCTTTGAGTGCAGATCAAAACCTCCACACAATGGACTCAGGTACAGAAAGACAAAATGTTTCTACAGACCTGAGAAAAATCCCAGGTTTGCAGAAAAATCCCAAAAATAAAGAGAAGGGAGGAACTCAAGCAACCCCCCCCCCAAAAAAAACTATATGAAGTCTTGTGATACTATATTGTAAGATCACAGTTACGACCTGGACAGAGGTAGTTTAGAGCAGACAGTGTGTTTCCATTGCTAGAGGAGGGCTCAAGGAGGAAAGCACATCTGGAACACTTTTTGCCCCAAGCCCAGATCCCTGATTAGCTGGCTGGCACTGGCTGAGGGAGGGAGGCTTAGAGGAGAAAGCACTTATCACAATGGGAGCCCCAGGGACCAACAGGAGAGGATACAACGGGATGTTCCTTCTCGTGCAAGTATTCACAGGTCCCCTACTGGTTCTGTGTAGTAGGCTTCAGCAATAAGAACACAGGTGCTTCTGGGAAGTTAATACACTCTACTGCATTTACAAATCGGTCTCCCTCCAAGACCAAGATTCAGCCAAACTGAAATTATTCCTTACTAGGCTACAGAGTGAAAACAAGCACAGGGGGAGCCCACTGCCTTTCTGAAAGTTTTCAATCCCCATCCCCCCGACACTACTATTACCTACACTGGAGGAGTCTAGGACTGCCAACTCCAAGTTGGGAAATTCCTGGAGATTTGTGAGTAGAATTTAGGAAGAGTAGTATTAGAGGAGGCCAGGAACCTCAGCAGGGTATAAGGCTATAGACTGAGTTTACCCTCCAAAGCAGCCATTTGCTCCAAAAGAAGTGATCTCTGTTGTTTGGAGATCAGCTGCAATTCTAGAAAATCACCAGGTCGCACCTGGAGATTGACAAGTTGGAGACGTTAGTGCCAGTTGCAGCCCAGTTGGTGTTGACCACCTGGAAATTGACAAGCCCAGAGCTGGAGACGATAGTGCCAGTTGCAGCCCAGTTGGTGTTGACTGCCCATTGTGAAGGCTTCCACCTATAGTGGCAATACCATTCTTTTGCCACCCCCCAACTGTTCTCAGCAGGACAAGGAGGAGAGCCAGTACCTTTGACTTGGTGTCTGTGCTGCTGTGGTACTCCACCATATGTAACAGACAGTGTGGGGCTTTGTATGTTGAGCCCCAAGTCAAATGCAGCTGGTTGTTTCCTGAGCCCTGGATGGTGAGGTTGACAGGTGGGTTGGGTTTCACTAGAGGAGAGAAAGGTACAATGTTTAGCTTCTTAAGTAGGGTGGCCAGCTCTAAGCTGGGAAATACTTGGACATTTTGGGGATGGAGCCTGAGGAGGGCTGGTATGGGGAGGGGAGAGGCTTTAATAATGGGGTATAATGTTAAAGAGTCCACCTTCTAATGTGGCTATTTTCTCCAGGTGAACTGATCTCTGTCACCTGGAGATCAGTAACCCCAGGAGATCTCCAGCCACTACCTGAAGGCTGGCAATCCTATCCAAAGGCACCCTTGGTCATACCTCTTGATATGGCTGTTGGGAATTTCTGGGTTTCCCTTCCTACCATCTAATTCTGCTCCAACATACATTGCTTTTTTAAATGAAGCTTTTTATCCACATTCCCTCCCAAATTGCAGCAGATCTAAAATGGTGGCTTCTGCATGAAATTGTCACACTTCCGCCAACCTTCTGAGTCTCCCTTGGCTGTTCTGCAGGTCAGATTGCCAACTCTGGGTTGGGATGTTCCTGGAGATTTGGGGTGTGTGGTCTTTGGGAATGGGAGGCATCTCACTGGGGTATAATGCCATAAAAATCCACCTTCTGAAGCAGCTGTTTTCTCTTGGGGGAACTGATCTCTGTAGTTTGGAAATCACTTATAATACTGGGAGAACACCAGGCTCCACCTGGAGCTTGGCAACCCTAAAGGTGACAGGTCTGGAAGGGGGCTGATCTGCCCAGCTCTGCAATTTGGGCCCAGTTTTTCTCATCAAAAGAGCAGAGGAAGCAGTAAAGCTGTTTCTGGGTTTTACCACTTCAGACTGCTGGTGGAGTTCAGATGTTCAAATGCTCCTGCATATCAAAACAAATTCCTGCACTTGGAAACCTGATATGTCAGAAAGAACCCCTTCTCTCTTTAAAAATAAATAAAACAAAAATGGTAAAAACAAATCAAAAGCCAATAAAACCAGCTTAAGTAAAAGCACCAAACGATAAAAGCAAGCACCAACAATACCCTTAAAAAGCACCACTGCAGGGGGGGGAACTATGGGACATAAAATCTCTTTAGCAGAAACTAAACATCAAACAGCCGGCCAAAAACAACAACAGAGCAACAGATGATGTATGTGTGTGCATGCACTCATGCACCAAATGGCCAGAAAAAAAAGCAATGTTTCCATCTCAAGTGTAAGGTGTCAGGTGGACAGAGAGGGAGAGGCAGTTCAGCAGCTGAGGTGCATGTCACTACAGAGAATGCCCTGCTCCACCTCTGTCAACAGGGGCACACATCAGAGGGATTCTGAAGACATAGATCTGAATGTTGAGGCAGGAGTTGTCCTCGTTTACTACCCCCTAACATTCCAGGGGGGGGGATTCTCCTTCTTTTCCCACTTTTTGTTTTGCAATTGGGAGAAAATGAAGGATGGGGGGGTACTGTCTTAAATCAAGTAACCCTAAGCCTCTGGGGTCTGTGCCTTCATGTGCTGTACTTGGCATGGCTGGCTGGTCATGGAATAGTCACGACTATCAACCAGTATCTCTAGCAACAGCAAGCTGCTACATCTCAGCTGCTGGACTCCTACCAGAGAGCGAGAATCAAAAAAGGTCAGTTGGTAAACTTTTGGGGGATGTTTGCCTCAGGGAGCAGTGATGCTTTTAAGACATGGAGGAGAGTTTGCAGCCTTGGCAGAGGGACCCAGTACAGCAGGGCCATGATTTTGGGTCTCAGGCTGTGGTTTGGTCCTCTAGGACACCATACCTAGGTCTTGCAGTTGCATGGTGTGGCTTCTGTAGAAGTGTCTGCTGCCATTGTTGCTTGTATTGAGATAAACATTGAAGGAACGAAAAATATGAATCTGGCTGCGGTTGAACCAGCATCCCATGTTGACACCATCACTTTGGAGATAATGCTCACACTCTGCAATGGGATCTTGTTTATACCTGGGGAGAGGGAAGAGGGTTAGAGTGAATCTTCTGTTACAGGCAGCCCACAGGGATCCCCAATTATAGGGAATCAGAGTTGCCCACGGAGACAGGCCATATGGGCAGCTTTGCACTGAACAAGGCCAGGCATGCATAACCTTGTTGAACCTGTAAGCATTTTTATAATTTTAAGAAAGGGTAGTACCACAAAATGGCTGGCATGGGGGGGTTGGGTGGAGAGGCTAGTCACACAATGCCGCCCACTTTTACTGTTCCTTGCATCACTCACAGTGGAAAGAATTTGGACTAATATAGATTCTCCAGCCAGGGAGACCACCAAGGAAGACTCTGCAGAGGAAGGCAATGGCAGGCCACCTCTGCTTCTCCCTTGCCTCGAAAGCCCCTTGCTGTGACTTGACAGCACTTTACACATACACAAACACACACACACACATACACAGCTTTTTCCAGCCACAGTAACACTATTAAGGCAGGTTTCAAACTCATAAGAAAATCCGTGTCTCTGGCCAAGCTGAAGGTGCACTGCTGTGATATGCCTGACTGATATGAGCTCAATCAACAGGCAGAGTATAACCTGAAGCTCCTTGGTCTTATCCTTTCTGCTCCATTCTAGACCATTTGGATTTAACCCCCAAGGTTCAAGAAGCAAATGAGAGACAGAAGAGAACACCAGGCACTGTGGTGTCCCTCATGGGCACTGTGTTAGGGAATCGCTAAATGAGACTAACCCTCAGCTCAAAAGAACACAAATAACTTTCAGCAGGTCTGAATCTTTCTCACTATGAGACGGAGCAATCCAGAGAAAAATGTTCCAGCCACTGCCATAAGCCAATGTGCTGAGCGAGCAGAGAAGACTTTCAATGGTGGGTGTCTCTCAAAACTCAAAGAATTTGGACCGGTGAAGAGCCTTCAACCACAGAAGAACCAGGAAGAGAGAAACTCTACCTGCACTGCTGAATCTGGCAACCATACCAGGTACCTTTTTATTTCCCCCTTCTTCTTCTTCCTGGGCAAAAAGAATGGTGAAACATCCCCCTCCACATCCATCAACATCAATCACAGCCACCAAGGATCAGTTCCTCAAATGGATCTGCTGGTCCCAAATTGTGGTCACTGACACTTTGTGATCCACAGGTGCATGGCATGTTGTATCAAAGGGATGCCATATTTCCCCAGAGGACACCTGTACCATTGGCATCCTTTGTGTTATAGGGGAGGGTCTAACCCAGATGTGGAAGTGTGGCTGATGGTTGATTACAGATGAAGCTTGCTTCAGGAGCAGAAGAAATGTGGCAAACGGGTGATGGACCTGGGAAGAAGGCAATCCCAGAAGATGGGCAGGGGAGGAGGGGCCCCAAGGATGACACGGTAAAAGGAACATACCAGTAGTAGAGGGAGTAATTGGAGGCTGGTTTCTGGCTGCTGTCCCACTCACAGGTCATGTAGTCGTCATTGAAGACGATGCACTTCACCTCTGGAAAAGAGTAGACAGCCCAGCAGGGCTGAGTGAGCTTCGAAGACTCTTGTCAGAGATCCTGGACAATGCATGTTGTGCTCTACCCATCTACATCCTACTCTGCTCAGGAAGCAGCAAACAAGAAGGCAGAGGCTGTTGTCCATTCCTTGGAGCAACCCAGCCTTCCGCACTCTGGATTTGGTTAATAATCAAGGGTGGCTCAGCAGCTCCCCAGCTCAGGTTGGCTTGGTTTGCCCCCTTCCTGGCCAGCTCTAAAGTCCTCCCTCAGGCTACCTGGAACTTGCCCGCCATTTTCTTGAAAGCCTCAACAGAGGTTCCAGTTCTCTCCAGGCTGCTTGTGTTGTGAATGGGTCTTATCACACAAGGCAGTTAGTCTTAATGTTACTGTATCACGGAGGAAGCCATAGACTGAGCCAGCTCAACTCGGGAAGAAAAAAAGTTTGTCTCAGCTCAGAGGGGCCTTCCTGCACCCCAGTTATAGCATTCCCAACCTCCCTTGCAACTTTTGCTTTGGAAAACGTGCTGATTGTTTTGGTGTCTTTTTTCTTCAGTGGCCACAGTTGATGGTCAGGCACCTGCAGCAAAAAGGCATGTGGGTCTGCAGGCAGGCAATGGCAATAAATTCCTTGGGAACCCTTCTCAGCAACTTAGGGAGCATTCCCCAAGCCGGCAGGGTTGAGGACTGGTGGTGGTGGTGGGGGGACTGTGGTGCAGTGATAGAGCATCTGCGTACCACGCAGAAGGTCCCAGGTTCAGTCCCTGGCATCTCTAGTTAAAGATAGGATCAGATAGTAAGTGACATGAAAGACCTCTGCCTTAGACATCAGTAGTTACCAACCTCCAGGTGGGGCCTGGAGATCCCCTGGCATTACAACTGATCTCCATATTGCAGAGATTAGTTCCCCTGGAGAGAACAGCCGCTTCGGACAGTGGACTCCATGACATCACATTCCTGCCGAGTTCCTTCCCCTCCCCAGGCTCCATCTTCTCCAGGCTCTACCCACAAATCTCCAGGAATTTCCCAACCCAGAGCTGGCAACCCCAGTCACCTTGGAGAGTTACTGCCATTCTGAGCAGACAATACTGACCTTGTTGGACAAATGGTCTGATTCAGTATATGGCAGCTCTGTGTGTTCATGCGTAGACACTTGGGTCAATTCACACATGAATGCAAAGAAAGCCATCCACTACTGCAGCTGAACAGGCCCAAGCCTGAAGATTTGCGGATGTGCTCAGATAGAAAACCATGAGGTTCATTTCTCACCCATCCTTCTGCCTTCTCTATGA